CTGCAGTATTCACACCTACAGTTTCTTGATCATGTAAGCGGCCTTCAAATGTCTTAGCAAGCATTCAAATCAGGTTTCAGTCTTTCAAACTGTTCTGCACTCAGCCCTCGAGCTTTGACGTTTAAAAGGTCTCGAGCGCTTGGATGTACACAGAGTCAATATTGATGTAGAGGCTCACTGCTGCTGGCTGCCAGGCTCTGCTTCGCTCCGTGAGCAGTATTTACAGCGGATGGCACTCTGTGCTCACTGTGCATGCCTACCTGAAGAAAAAAAAAAAAACGAGTGAACTCTGGACTGTCAAACAGATGGGTTTTCTTCCCCCGCTGCCTTTTCTGTTGTTATCCTACCCACAATTGTTGTTCACGGTCAAGGCAGAGGATGCTTGTGTGCATATTCAGCCTCTGGGGCTATGCCTGCCTTATGTCCTGTCTCAACTTTTCAATTGTGTGAAAGTTTTTTATGTCCAGGTAAATGCGCTTGTAAAGAACATTTGAATGCTAGTGTCTGGCTGACTCTACCAAATTCTTTGTGTTGAACATTTTCATCTGCCCTGCCTGGTGGACCATTAAATGAGATCACAAAGAGAGGAGTATTGTTGCCCCGCTTCATCAATCAAATCCCTTTGCTCTTGTAACTATTGGCCAGAGACGGCCCGTTCCCATAGTGATGATCAAAACAAGTAGTTGCAGGACGCTTCATTCACGGCTGCATCTGAAGTTAAACTAAAACCAGAGTGTTTGCAGCTTGTCCTGTAGTTATGTGATGTACCTACATGACAATGTGGTCGTGTGTTACCTCGTGCTGAAATGTTTTGTACAGACTCTGGAATGAGCTGATTCAAAAAGGTTTCAGAGCTGGACTCCATGCGTGTTCACAGTAATCATTTTCCTGCCGGGCTGTGTGCACTCACACAGTCACAATTATGAATGAATAAATGCACACTATGAACATTTCTTCAAATAACAGACTGACTTTCTCAAAATGTGTGTTGTCCTCAGTACTGAACGTCAGTCCAAGCAAGCCACCAAATACAAAAGAACCAAATGTTTTTATCCCTACTGTTGTGTCTTTTGTCAGTGCCACATGCCAAACATTGTGATCTTTATCTTTAGCAGACTCTCTCTCTCTCTCTCTCTCTCTCTTTTCTCTCCCTTTTCTGATGTGAACACAACATCTGGATACTTAAAGGTACTGAACTCATAGTCTAACCTAGTACAATGCTGCTTTCCCAGGTTGGAGCTACAACATGTGGGACGTAATTATGCTGCTACTAAGTTGCTGGAGACATTCACACAGTGATCTCCACATGACAGCATTAATGGTTAGATAAATGAGGCTATTTTTGTGGCATTGGCGTCTGAGAGACAGGACAATTTAGGAAATCGGTATCTGATTGACTCTTAGAAAGCTCTCGAGGTATACTGTAATCCTGTGGGTGACATGAGAGAATCAAGGCTTGCTCTTGTGTTCCTGAACAAGCAAATTCTTCGAGTAGGAGTCAACTTATTTCTTTACCAAAGACATTTCAAAAGCATATTATTGTATAACATTTTCTAATTCTTACATCAATGCAAATTCAAAACCTCCTTGGATAATCTAAAAGTACATCATCATAAAGCTAAAAACAAGCATTATTTTTCTTCCTTTGTGTAACATATACTGTATGTAGTGAAGAGAACCGATCATCATTTGATACTAAGACGAAAAGCCGTGCCAGCCACCTGTTCTATCTTTCACCATTCATTTCTTAGAAGTCTTCAAACAAAGCACTGTGATGAATATCAATCTTGCAATAATGACATTATTATGAGATGGTTGCATTCGGATCTTGATTGATGCAACGTGGAGCTAAAGGACTAAACCAAATTATCTTACCAATAGGGACAGATTACTGAAGCTCTGCCTCTATAGACAAAAGAGTTGGATGGTTTGGATGCCCAAAAAAACATCATCTTTGAGGGGTAAAGTAGGTCCCCATTTTAGCCTGAAGAAATTCAGCACACAAATTTCAAAAATGCATTCAAACCCACACAAACTCTTCTTCCCTCCCTACCCCTGCAGTTGCCCAACAGTCACTGCCAGTACGTCCCTCTGCCTGGATGTGGCTCTGGAGAATGGATGTTGAGAGGGTAATAGGTGGGTACAGGAGAGTGAGGCAACATGTCCATAAATATGCATATTCTTTTGGTTTGGTTAAGAAGACACAAATGCTACTATACCCTCTTGAAAAAGAATAAAAGCCTGATGACTTGCAATAGAATGAACTTTAAGTATAGTAACAGATGAGACTTAAAGGTAAAATATGTAACATTTTCGCATCAAAATATCTAACTACCTAGTCCTTAGTTAGAAACTTTTTTGAGTTTTACACCTATTATTCCAAATATTCAGCGAGAAATCTCTAATTTATGTACAAATTGAAATTGAACATTATAAGCAAATCGGTCCGGTTTAGCTCAGGGCATGCAAAATCTCTCCCTCTCTCTCTCTCTCTCTCTCTTCTCCATATTTCTGTCCGTCTTCACTACTACAGTTAAATCAAGGCTAAATTTTAAAAAAATATATCATCTTTAAATGAAAGCATCACATACTTCTTTTTTTGGTATAGACTGGAGGAGAATTATGATGACTTAATATAACACAGATCTGCAGAGCCCCTCCAGACTCAATGAATTAGGATCCCAAACTTACCATTAAACCATGCTCCCAACAAAACTCCAGGTTCAGAGATATTTTGATTTCAGTTTCTCGGTTTAAACCATTCAGACATAAAAATCATTGCTGGCGTGCGGAAAGCCTAGCGTTTAGATCGCGCCCCTCATGTGCAGAGGCTATAGTCCTCATGGGTTTGAATCTGACCTCGGCCCTTTGCTGCTGTTGTCCCCCACTCTCACCTCCCAGTACTTCCTGTCTCTCTACAGATGTCATATCCAATAAAGGAAAAAATACCCAAAACATATCTGGAAAAAATAAATAAAATCATTGCTATACCATACATACAAGGTGACAATGGAGACACCTCCATCTGCTGATGGAGATTGAGTTTATATACAGTAATAAAGCAGTCAGTCTGTGTTTGTTCCTGCACAGTGGAGTGAATAACCTTGAGTAATGTGAAAGGGGTTCACTCTGGAGAAAAACACACACAGACTCTGCTGTACCCAGCTGTTGGAGCATTTTATCATCTCTCAGCTCATTGTTTTGGTTTTGCAACCCCCCAAACTTTACAGTTTTAGTTTTCAGAGGTTTATGTTTTGCCCACTGAGAAACAGCTAAATGTACATTTAACATCTTTGAGTGAAATGTTTATATTATGCAGAGATGCACTGGACAGGTGGTGTTTCTCCATGTGTAAAATGTTAGCGGGCAATAAGTTGACAATTTAGTTGTAAGTCTTTCTTTTTTGCCCTGTTAGAGAGAGCTTCTTTAATCTTGAAAAGCTGCTGGGAAATCAAGGCAGCTCCTTCTCTTGTTGATGCCAAATGGCAATGAATGTTCAGGATACTCCACAGGGAACTAACAATGAATGCTGAAAACCTTGACAGTTTTTTAATCCAGGAGGATAAATGAAAAACACCAAAAGATGAGACAGAGAAACCCACGGCTTGGTGTAGAATCCTATGGGGAAAGTTTTTTACTCATTGTTCCTGCAGGTAGAAAATGAGAAAGCTCTGATATGATGATCCCTCTCTTCATCGTGAAACCATTCATTCAAGCCTTTCACCGGATATAGATGACACCTCGGGTGATTATGCAAAGGGTAGTTAAATGGAAAAAAAAGCCTCTGTTTTTGACCTCATCAAGGGAAGGTTATGCAGCAAACATCCCCTCTCCTCTTCTTCAACTCACATAAAACGACCTGTTTCAAGTGATACTGATAGTACACAAACATATCTATTGATTCGGGTTAATGGTAAACATGCAACTACATTGTTCCTCCATTGCAGCTCTTATAAGACGAAAAACATGATTCAACCTTTAATTTCATCCCGTTTAGCTCTCTCAGTGGAGTTTGTATCACATATTTGTAACTGTCAAGGCCATCTCACAGAGCCAAGCTGCTCTTAACAATAGCAACACACCTACAAAAGGCTTTGTCACTCAAACAACACCTGGCCATGATGGGTCTCTAAGCAACCAGAGTTACTGCACCAAAGGAGGGAGAGGAAACAGCAGCACCTTAATGACTCCCTGTGTCAAATCAGTTGGGGGGAGAAATAAAGGGTTAAGGGTGGAAAATCCTGTAATTTCTGACAACCAGGGTGTCATTTTTGTATATAATTAAAGCTCTCTTCTTTATCTTGAGCTCTTATTGCAGCCTCAATTGGGGATTTTGGAAGAATTGAAGATTTATTTGGGTTTTTAAAGCAGTGGCCAAATTAGGATTGATAAAATACAGAAAGTGTGTCCTGTTTGATGCAGGCATAATGGGAAATTATTTATATTTTTTAAAAAGTCTCCTCTTCTTTCTTGCAGGAAAATCATATTGTGACAAATGTCAAAAATAAATCAGATTAAAAGGTTATTGGCAATTTTAGTTTGAAGGCATGAAAAAAGGCCCCTACATTAAAGTTTCTTTCTGTCCGTGGCAGTTTACACATTGGTTGTTATCTGGTGCTGCTGTCATGTTCACATGCACTCATTTGAAGGTTGCTGTTAAGTGTTCTTCTTACTTCTTCAACATCTGAGAGAGAGCTAGAGAGAGAGAGATAGCAGACTCTGTATGTTTGCATTGCAGAGGCAGATCTCAAAGGAGTTGCTAGGGAACATATAATGAAGCAGAGATGGACATTTTAAAATTTTTCGAGAAATTTGTGGAGCAAAATAGCTTTAACTTTTCTGCAGGCAATTAATGAGCTTATGGGAATGAAAAGGGTTGTTTAAATGTTTAAATAAGCAACCAGATGTTTCAGTGTGATGGTGCATTTGACCAGAAATATGTGAGAAAATATATAAATCTAAAAGAAGCGTTTAATATATTACCAAAATATATTTTTACTTGGCCTGGCATGTATTCAGGGTCAGAACCGTTTTGCCGGCTTGATCCTGTCACATCTGTTGCCTCAGCCTCTGATGTCACTGAATGAGCAGTGCGGGCTTCCAGTGCGCACCTTCGGGGACGCAGCGGTGGCACAGACAGTCAATTCTTTGCTCGAAACCTTTTGTTTCTCCCCAAATTCCTGCATCCGTATTTAAACCTGTGGCTAGGCACCTATAAAGAAACTCCTCTTTTGTGTTGCTGCGTTTAGATGAACTTTTTGGAAGCAGAAAAACAAGTGAGGTGGTGTTGGGCTGAGGTGATGATGTCCTTGAGCGCGGGCTGTTGCGCTCTGCTTTTTAACTAGAGCCAAAATCTGCGTTAAAGGAGACATTTCCCCGTTTATTTTTGCAGCAGTCGTTTGATCTCAGCTGTATTTATCGATACCAGTGTGAACTGAGCTGTCAGTCCTTGTCCAGCAGCAGCAGCAGCAGCAGCAGCAGCAGTTCGGTCGGTGCGGGTAGAAGCGGTTCGGCACCATGGACAGCTCCGTGGTGCACATCTACAAAGAGGACAGGTGTCCCTCAGGACAGCCAGAGGAGTGCATACCAAACTTCACCTGGCAACCCGGACTGTCGGACGTCTTCAACTACACCCCCAACGGCACCTGGGACGCCGAGCCCATGTCGCCCCTCATCCCCATCATCGTGGCGGTGTACTCCGTAGTGTTTGTGGTGGGCTTGGCGGGCAACTGTTTGGTGATGTATGTCATCATTAGGTAAGTTCACACCTTTTAAATATGTTTTTAATCAAAGCCAGTCGTTCCCTTAAGTGAAAAACATGTAGGATTAGGCTATAGCTGAGAGAACAACAGGAAATTCATTGTATTTTAATTTGTGAACATCTGAGGTTAATAGCAGGGAGATTGCTCCATGAGAGTGTTTGTTCATCTGCTGTCGTGAATGTAATGAGTTTAGGGTCACTTGTAGGGCTATAAATAAGAATAGTCCGTGACGCTGAAGCATAAAAAACGAAGTGCAGTCGAACTTCTGTTCTTTCCATGTTTTCTTGTGCCTGTGCAATGTTCAGCAGTTGTTTTTCTCTGTAAACTGAATCTTGAAGGCAGCACCATGAGCTACTTTTAGGAAAAGTGCAGGTTTGCAGTGATTGTAATGTCATTCATCTCTTGTTTCACTACATTTGAGGTTCAGTTCAAAGCTTCATGAAGGTCTTTTCCTTTTAAGTAATGTGAAAGCTCAACCGTGGTTCGATTTATTTTTAAAGCTTTGTATTAATCACGGGATCATGAAGAAAAAGTTGAAGTTAAAGAGCCTCCCTTTGGTTATTGTGTGTGCTTAAGTGAATCTATTTAGTGATAGAGCTGAGCACCTTAGTAAACAATCGTTATCTCAAAAAGTGATTCAATTGACCTTGCTCTTCTTCTAAAAGATTAAAACAACAAAAAACTAAAAGTGGTGAACAAAAAAACAATCAATCAAATCCATCCATCCTCTTCATGTCTGCCTCCACAACAGATACACCAAGATGAAAACAGCCACTAACATCTACATCTTCAACCTGGCCGTGGCTGACGCTCTGGTCACCACCACCATGCCCTTCCAGAGCACTGACTATCTGCTCAGCTCCTGGCCGTTCGGCGAGGTGGCATGCAAGGTCTTTATCTCCATCGATTACTACAACATGTTCACCAGCATCTTTACCCTGACCATGATGAGCGTGGACCGCTACGTGGCCGTGTGCCATCCGATCAAGGCCCTGGATTTCCGCACGCCCGTCAAGGCCAAGATCATCAACGTGATCATCTGGGTGCTGTCGTCTGCTGCCGGGGTTCCTGCGATGATACTGGGCAGCACAAAATCCAACAATGGTACCTTCTGCTGCAATAAATATACACTTCTGTGCACTGTGACTTCACCTGAGATGTTTAACAGTAGTTACATATTTCTGTGTGTCTATTATTGAGACAAAAGATTGTCTGTCTTATATGCAATTTTAAACTTTAAAACTTCTTCACCTTGTTTTATCTCAGTTGCTGCAGGAAGCTTCCTGGAATTCTTGAAAGAGAATGTTCTGTTGGTTGACGAGAGCCTACATTACAAATACTTGACAGGATAAAGCTAGAGCAGTAATTATTTGTTCACATAGGTTGAGAAAAGAGATTGAAATATTCCTCTTTTTCAGGGACAGACTGAGAGATCGTGTGTGTTCGCGACGGGCCTCTATACGATAAGAGAGATCTGACATTAGGGTTTATTAGCTTTTCAGTCTGTCAACTGACAACTGGGTTGGTTGTGTCAGTTTTACTGTATACTTCGATTCTGGCTGATTTATCTTTACAATTGTTGGATGTGTTTTGACTAAATCTTTACAAGCATCCATGGCTCTCAAAGGATGAATCCTAGGGCAAGCATGAGGTTGACTATTTGTTTGTTTGTCAAATGTCTTCCCAACTGTTGGATGGATTTCCATGGAATATGATGAATTTCTATAATCGCTTAACTTTTTGGCACAACTGCACTTTGAGTACTACCAATGAGGAAACTTCAATTTGGCCTATTTCCTCGTAACTGTAAAAGCATTCTACATAGCTGAAGTGTTAAAATGCTAAAACACCTAACACTGTACACATATTAATATATATCGAACATGATATCAGCATTATGAGTACATAAGCCACCAGCAAACATTGAAATTTAGACTTACTCTCAATGCTAAAAGTGCATTTGTTAGCATGAAAGAAGACTGTAGTTTTGTTGGTTTTCCCATAATTCAGTGTGACTGACTGAAATCCTTCCTGCTAACTCTGTTCAAACAGGGACTACAGAGTGTGCTCTACAGTTCCCTGAACCCTACATCTACTGGGACACCCTGATGAAGATCTGTGTCTTCATCTTTGCCTTCGTAGCACCCGTCATAATCATCACTGTCTGCTACACTCTGATGGTCATGCGGCTGAAAAGCGTGCGCCTGCTCTCTGGCTCACGAGAAAAGGACCGCAACCTGCGTCGGATCACACGCCTCGTGTTGGTGGTGGTTGCCGTCTTTGTCGTGTGCTGGACCCCCATCCACATCTTCATCTTGGTCAAGGCCTTGTCAGCCAACGTGCCCGAGACCACCGCTGTCATGGCCGCTTACTTCTTTTGCGTGGCGCTAGGTTACACCAACAGTAGCCTCAACCCCATCCTCTACGCTTTCCTCGATGAGAACTTCAAGAGGTGCTTCAGGGACTTCTGCTGCCCCGGAGCCAGGAGACATGGGGACTGTCAGGGGGTGAGTCGAGTGAGGAGCACCCTGCGAGACCACTCATGTCCCGCAGAAGGTCGAGGAGATACTATGAGGCAGGCCAGGCCGGTATGACTAGCCATGGACACGTCCTCTATGCCCTATCAGGGCTGGGAGGACTCCAACGATCTGGGCTTGACTCAAATCACCACTGCTATCTGAGGGCGGGGCCACAGAAAGGACTAGATTTTTGAATGTATTCAGCATGTTGGTCAGAGAATCAGAAGAATTTGTTGACTGAAGAATAATTTAGTTATATTCAAAACTTTTCTAATTAAGACTAATCCCATTATAAAACCCAAACCATCCAACAATGTATCCTACACACCAATGTTGCCTGTGTAGCCAAAACCGTATGAGATTATTCTGACATTGTTGTTGAGAAATACATAAAAATGTAAATGAGTTGTATGGTTGGAGTGGATGACATGATACTCCAAAAGGAAACTGTGTCTGACTGGAGTCAATCCCTTGACTTTAACCTGCTGCTCTTTGACTTAGACCTCTTAATGTGTAACTCTCCGCCACATTAACTAATCCCCAACAGATACAAAATGTACTTGTTTGAGAAATATCTGCAAGAATCTACAGTAACAAAGTGCTTGAAAAATAACTTTATACTAAACAAGGTGTAGAGAAACAAGAAATGAATGACAGGCTAACAACATGTAGATTAACCACTAATACGTGTAAATAATTATTGTGTAAGATATCCAAATATCTTTTGGCATATGTGAAATATAATATTTCAAGTATGATTCACAAGTGTTTAACCTTCTGAAAGTATTTCCTCTTTGATCGAGTCGGCCATTTTGCTACGCCATCTTTTATTATAGCGTTTTTAACAGTACACAGAACAGAAAAGCAACCGAGGCCACCGTACATTCACGCTTTGAATGGCAGGGTTGTAAAATAGAACCTGACCACTAGATGGCTCTAAATCCTAGACACGAGACCTCTAGAATGAAGCTTAGCTCACAAGCCCATGAGACAGTTAATGTTTAAGTACATCAAGGCCTCTGCCAGAAAATGATAAAATGTATAAAAATGTATAAACCTCTTATATGGTTGATGTGTAAAATACATTTAAAAAAGGATTTTATTGTGTTGTCCATATTAGTGTCAATAGGAGCCTTGTCAAGATAATGTGAAACTTTAGTCAGCAAAATGTATGCAAAGTATTTTATGTAGCTTAATCATATTTTGTTCACCTGACCTGCTACATGTACTTAACATAATTCACATGTGTATATTTTATAAAGCAGAATGTACAGTAGTTCTCCCCGATGGGGAACAAGCAGCATTGTTTTAAACTAATTGTGTTTACATTCATTGTAGTTTTGGTGCTTTGCTGTACTGTGACTTTGTGAATGGTCTTTATCTTTGAAGATTCTCTCTTTGGTAGCACCGTCATGTAGAATATCGAATAATCTCTCAGGGATCATCCTCTGAAATTCAACAAAAGATCAAAGTGTTTTCTCCTTGACAAGGACTCAAAGTTTAAACACCAGACGTTTCTGTCAAAAGCTGAACTTTGAGCTTCAAGAAACCATTATTACATCTGACACTGCTCCACATTTCCAGCTGTGAAGATTTTCATCTTTTGGAGTAGATGTAGACATAGATATGTATAAAGTCATAATGTCATGTTCTCACCTTGTCAAAACGCCGGCACCTGTGAAATATGAAGGAGGACTCCAAGGCAACAGCCAACGAGCCAGTGAGACACTTTATCTACACGACAGGGCTTTTGGTGTTAGTTTTGAGTGTAAATCTTTGCTCAACATGTAATCATTACGGTTTTATTTAGATGATTTTTTTTACGTTTATTCCCGTGCAAATTTCTCTCTGTTAAAGAAAAAATATATATTTTTTGTGACCTTTTTATAGCTTGGTTATCAGAATTACTGTAGCTCTTATAGGACTCAACAAATCAACTGGAATTACCAAAATTACAAAAACTAGATTTTATTTTTCTGGCTGCATAGCAAATCATTTACATATTTGCTTGTCTAGATCTGATATGTTGTAGTAGTTATTGCTGAAAAGGTTGGGCCTTGTTTTGTGTGCCTTATCTCTGGGCCCTTAACTTTTTTTTTTCTAAATGATGACTACGCTTAAATTGTAGCATTATTTTACAGTGAATGTATGTCTTACTACTTTAAGCTAGTTACACTATGTGTTTCAATTTCCTCTAATGCTGTTATTTAAGTAAGTAATACGGTTGTAATAAAATACATTATGATTTTCAGCCCAATGCTGAATAACATATTTATAAAGTGTTACATCGTAAGTTGATTTCATCTGTTGTATATTTAGCTGTAACTATGAGCTGTAAACGTCAAAACATGTTTCATGTAAGTGCAACTAAGTCACAATAAAGCTCTGAGATGTAAGATTGATGAAGAGAGCTTTATTTCTTTCCTTGATGATGTCAAATGGGTTCAATGAAAAAACTATTTGGCATAACATGACAGAATGGAGTTTATAATCCGCCTCCCCAATGACTCATTTTCTTTCAATCCTTTATTCATTTTTTCCAGTTCAGCCACAAAGTTAGTGTTTCCATGGTGAGTGCACAGACTGAAAGCAGGGACCCATGGCCTGTTGTACTAATTGTGTGATATTACGTATTCGTGGCCTTGCAGAGGAATTTGTATTTATTGCAAATGTATTAGTTGCTGCTATACTGTGGCTCTCTAGATCTTGGTTGACTTGTGTTATTGCCCAGGTTAAATGGATTATTTAGGGGCGCTGGTAGCTCAGTGGTTGGTGCACCCACCTCATGTATGGAGGCTATGGTCCTCCAAGCGGGTGGCCCAGGTTCAAATCCGACCTGAGGCTCCTTTCCCACATGTCATTCCCCACTCTCTCTCTCTCCCTGATTTGCGACTCTGTCCACTGTCTGTCTTATCGCTCCAATAAAGGCACAAAAAGTAAAAATAAAAATAAAATATATATGTATCTCACAGCATATTTCTCTCTGCATTCAGACCTTATCAGTGCTTACTCTGCTCTGTTGCCTCCTCCAATATACAGACTTTACTGTGTTCCTAATAAATGTTATTATCAACTTTAGACCTGGTAATATGTAGTAGTCACTATTTTTTGTGCTGCCCCCAAGTGGCCAAATATATTGGTATTAAAGGTTGATTAAATAATATATATATTATAGGTTTTAAGTTTGATAAAGATTCAAAGACTATGAAACACCATGTCTTTTTAAGTTTGGAGGACTCTGTTGGTTTAATGGACTTGTAAAATTGTAGTCGTGGAGACAAAGATGTGATCACTCACAGGTTGTCCAATTACATCAACTGACAACTGAGAATGAAAGTGATGAAATAAAGCCAATTACTCTAATTATAGTCAATTATTTTTTTATGTACAAAAAAAGAAGAGAAAATAAAAAATATTCTCTAAAGTTATCATTCGTCATATACTTAGCCCTCTGTGCAGCAGCTGACGGGCCAAATGATGTGCAGGGATCCCCAGAGATTGAGATGGAAATTATATAAATCACTCCTCTGTCAGCTATTATGATCACAATGCTTCCATTTCTTCCACCCTCTTTCCCTGTCTCTTTTTCTTTTACATTTAACAGGTTCAGTAAGAGTTTACTGAGATACCTTTTGAGCTTTTTGAACATGTTCACAACCCTTTAAGTCAATTTACAGGTGAAACAACATAATGCCACATAAAGCCTAATTAAATCATGTAACTGCAGAAGGAGTGTGAGTTCAATACCCTACATTTTTTTGTTAGCAATGCCTCTGTGTTGTAGGCTACTTCAGTACGCATTTGTATTACTATTTTTCACTTAAAGCTCCTGTGAGGAACTTTCGGTTATGTTGATTTTGGCGCCCCCTGTGGACAAAAAGGACACTGGTGCACTTTTATTGACAAGGCCATGCTTGGGCTACTGCCCTCCTACATCTGTAACCTAATCACATGGAGAACTGTTGATTCTTATGGCTTGTGTTCAAATGATCAGTTGTTGCTGTCTGTTCCATTTGCCCGCACAGAGCTGGGAAAAAGGGCTTTCGTCTACTCTGCTCCTTCTTTTTTTTATAATTTTAATTGCTGTCTGTATGTTGTGAGTGTGACTGTGTAACTTTTGCTGCCAGGACTCCCTTGAAATAGAGGTTTATTATCTCAATGGGACTTTCCTGGATAAATAAAGGTTAAATTAAATTAAATTTAAAAAAAAGTGTTACTTATCATCTTGCCTAATCTTGTCCTGTTCATGTGTATGTAATGATTCTGAGGATAAATCTCTTCCTACTGGAGGTTACAAGCATTCAGATGACAAATCTTGTCACTCTTGTCAATCTTGTTTTGTTTGCTTTCATAGCATTATATATACTATAGCATTATAGCCGAACATCGGGGTGGATGACGCCGTCATCTACCTACGGCAGAGATCCTGGACTCACCTGGAGAACACCGGCAGCACTGTGAGGGTCATGTTCTTTGACTTCTCCAGTGCCTTCAACATCATCCAGCCTGCACTGCTCAGGGGGAAGCTAGAGGGGGCGGGAGTGGACTGTCACCTGGCTGCATGGACAACGGACTACTTCACCAACAGACCACAGTACGTGAGGCTTCAGGACTGTGAGTCTGACATGGTGGTCTGCAGCACAGGGGCCCCGCAGGGGACAGTTCTCTCCCCTTTTCTCTTCACCCAGTACACCTCGGACTTCTGTTACAACTCTGGGAGCTGCCACCTGCAGAAGTTCTCCGATGACACAGCCATCGTGGGGTGTGTGTCTAAGGGGAGCGAACAGGAGTACAGGCAGGTCATCATGGACTTTGTCGACTGGAGTGAGCTCAACCACCTTCAGCTCAACGCCAACAAGACAAAGGAGATGGTGATTGACTTCTGCAGGAATGTCGACTTCACCTGCTGAGGCGACTGATGTCCTTTGGAGTATGCAGGACTCTGCTACGGACTTTTTATGACACTGTGGTGGCGTCTGCACTTTTCTATGCAGTGGTCTGCTGGGGAGGAGGGAGCACAGAGAGAGACACAGGAAGAGACTGAACAGACTGGTCAGGAGGGCCAGTTCTGTCTTGGACTGTCATCTGGACTCTGTAGAGGAAGTGGATGAGAGGAGGATGTTAGTGAAGCTGACATCCATCATGGACAACCCCTCTCACCCCCTGCATGACACTGTGGGGGCTCTGAGCAGCTCCTTCAGCAGCAGACTCAGACACACCCTGCAAGACAGAGCGCTACCGCAGGTCGTTCATCCCATCTGCAGTCAGACTGTTTAATCAGACTGTTTAATCAGACTGTTTAACAAACATCACCACCTCATGCTACACACTGTGTGTGTGTTTTTTAAGAACAAGTTACTGTGTAATTTTACATTTACATTATTGTATTTTTTTACATTATTGTATTTTTTATTTAAATGATGTAAATATGTTTGATCTGTTTTTAACTTCTATTTTTATTTTATATAAGTATATTCCTGTCCCCTGTTTTCTGGAGCTGCTGTAATGCACAAATTTCCCCCACGAGGGATCAATAAAGTTTATCTTTATCTTTATCTTTATCAGTCTGAATCATGACAAGCAAAAGACCCCTCACAGGAGCTTGAAAATAAAGCACCTTAAATACTCCCTTAAGCGTTTCGAACAGAGTCAATAGAATATAATTAAAAGCTCCATCTAATGTTACTATATTTGCATTGTAGTGGCTGATACGACAAAGACACTGTGGTGGAGACAAAAGCCTTTTGACACATCTACAACCCCTCTGCTCGCCACACGGGGGCGGGCGTGTATCACAACCCTGATTGGTCATAACGGTTTACGCCGGCCAATGGGAACCTCTTGCGTCTGTACCGTTGCTTCCGGGTGTCTCCACTGTAGAAATCCTCTTGCAGTTGATGTTTTTCTGGTGTTTTCTAAGGGCAGCTAATAGCTAAGTACCCTTTAATACGTTTATCAAAATGAACAGAATATTCGGACGTGGGAAGCCGAAAGCGCCTCCTGCGAATCTGTCGGACTGTATCGGCAATGTGAGTACTGCGTTGTTGTTTGTGTCTTTATTATGGGACATAACGGTACGTTTACTAAAGCTAACATGGCCACAAAAGGACAGTCTTACAACAACACTGTGCGAGTTAGTTATCACACTCAAGATATTAAAGGCTTTCCACTGATATAACCCCTTCTTTGTTTTCCTTTCCGCCGGATTGAGTTGAAAAAGATGTGTTTTTTTTAAACCATAGCCGCCCTTTAGATTTTTACACCCTCGAGCTATCTCCTCCTCTGTTTTCCTTTATCACACAAACACAAACCCACACAGGCGAGATGTATGTGTGATCTGCAGGAAAAACATGAAGTTACAATAAGTCTTTGATGATTGATCTCCTCAGGTCGATGCGAGGGCGGAGTCCATAGATAAGAAGGTCGCCAGACTAGATGCCGAACTTGTCAAGTACAAGGATCAGATGAAGAAGATGAGGGACGGGCCCTCGAAGGTAACACCGAGCAGCCTCATGATCAGAATAGTGATGTTTCAACGATGGCGTGTTGTTTACTTATTAATAACGTGTATTTCACATTGCAGAATATGGTGAAACAGAAGGCAATGAGAGTCCTGAAGCAGAAGAGAATGTGAGTCCTGGTTCTGGTTCTGGTTCTGGTTCTGGTTCCTACATAGGTGATAGCAGTCAAAGACATGTGTAATGGCATGACTGATTCTAATAACCTAATGTAGCCCATCACACTGTCTGTATCTACATGTACATGTATCTGAGCACAGTTCTGTAAGAATGTGTATCTAACAGAAATGTCTGCATGTAGTTACCTAAAAAAATGATATCACCTTAACAGAGCCCAATACGAGAAAACGTATTGCACTTAGAACACTAAAATGAACTACTAAATTTAAGGGATTAAGAATGCTTGCTTATATTATAATACTCGCTGATAATTTGCTCAAACATTTAGGGTTGTTGGGACACTACTAAGAGCTGAGGTAAACATATCTTTATATACAGTTCTATGGGAACCCCGTTAGATCTGGGTTTTTTAGCCAATTTTTTGTTATTCATCTGGCCATTCGTTCTGGAAAGCGTCTGATTGGGAGCATGACAATGATCCCAAGCCGACTGCTAATGCTGTGAAGTCCTTAGAGAGAAAGGCTTTCAAACAGTACCGTTAAGCACATTACAAATGTTCTGATACCAGCTGTGTTTTGTTCTGAACAGGTATGAAGGTCAAAGGGAGCAGCTGGCTCAGCAGTCTTTTAACATGGAGCAGGCCAACTACACAATCCAGACTCTAAAGGACACCAAAACAACAGTAAGAGCCACACTGCTTCACAAAAACACTTGTTGACTCTTTCATGCAAGTATATTAAACTTTAACTCTAGATTCTTGTCATA